TTGATGATGCATGCATAAATGCCTTCCAAACTTTGAAAGAAAAATTGGTGACAACCTCAATCATTTCATGCCTTATTGGAGTTTTCCTTTTGAATTGATATGTGATGCAAGCAATTATATGGTGAGGGCTATTTTGGGTACAGGAAGGACAACATTTTCCAACCTCAATCATTTTCCAACATTTTCTAACTTTAAAAGAAAAATTGGTGACAACCTCAATCATTGCATGCCTTATTAGAGTTTACCTTTTGAATTGATGTGTAATGCAAGCGATTATATGGTAGAGGCTATTCCGGTATAGGAAGGATAACATTTTCTAACCCATTTACTATACTGAAAAACCTTAAATGAAGCATAACTAAATTATGCCATAACCAAAAAAGAGTTGTTTGCCATTGTCTTTGCTTTTAAGAAACTTTGATCATAGTTGATTGGCACCAAAGTAGTGGCATACATTGACCATTCAACCATAAAATGCCTCATTGCTAAGAACAATGTCAAGCTAAGGTTTATTAGTTAGGTTCTTCTTCTATAAAAGTTTGATTTAGAGATTAGAGACAAGAAGGGAACTAAAAATTAAATGGCTAACCATCTTTCAAGGTTGGAAAATGAAGCTTTACAAAGTGAAATGATCCATCAGTCATTCTCAGATGAGCAACTCTTCACCTCCAAAAGTTTACCATGGTATGCATATTTTGTTAATTATATAATACGTAATGTTTTTCCTCTTGATTTTTTTTTACCCAAAAACATTTCTTAATGATGTTATGTATTATGTGTGGGATGACTTTTTCTTATTTAAGTAATGTAAAAACCAACCTCTAAATTCCCATAGTGAAAGTAAAAGATATTCTAAAGCATTACCACTCAGCTGATTATGGTGGACATTATAAAGGTGCAAAAAAGGTGGCCAAGGTGCTACAATTTGGTTCGTATTGGCCAACACTTTTTAAAGATGCTTATGAGTTTGTTTTTAGATGTGGTAGGTGTCAAAAAGATGGAAATCTCTTAAAAAGACATGAGATGCCTCTCACCAATATTCTTGAAATGAAAATTTTTTATGTTTAGGGGATTGACTTCATGGGTCCTTTTATTTTTTCCTATGGCAATTTATATATTTTATTAGTAGTAGACTATATATCTAAGTGGGTGAAATCGACTATTTTTCCTTCCAATGATTTAGCACAAGATTTAGCACACCAAAGGTAATCATAAGTGATGAAAGATCTCATTTTTGCAACAAAGATTTTTAAAGCTCTGTTTACCATAGGGGTCAAGCATAGGATAGACAATACATACCACCCCCCAACAAGTGGCCAAGTTAAAGTGCTAATAGAGAAACAAAAAGAATTCTTGAAAAAACCATAACTCTTTCTAGGAAAGATTGGTCAATTTGGCTTAATGACTCTTTATGGGCATATTACATTGCATTCAGGACCCCTTTAGGTATGTCTCTATATCTATTAGTTTATGGGGAAGCATGTTATCTTCTTGTGGATTTAGAGCACAAGGCATACGGGTAATTAAGAACTTGAACTTTGATGCAAAAGCTATTAGTGAAAAAAGATTGCTTCAATTAAATTAGCTAGATGAGTTTAGACTTCAAGCTTATGAGAATGCCAAGTTATTTAAAAAGAAAACCAAGAAGCTGCATGATAAAAAGATTACAGAAAAACACTTTGAGGTTGGTCAACATGTGTTGCTTTTCAATTCAAGGCTTAAATTATTCCTTGGCAAGCTTAAATCAAAATGGTATGGTCCCTTTATAGTTACCTAAGTTTTTTCGCATGGGGTTGTGGTGATTATAAATGAAAAGATGGGAAAACCTTTTAAAGTTAATGGACATAGATATAAAAAGAATTTGGGAGGTTGTTTTGATTGACAAAAAAATAGTTCTCTTTTTAACCGAACCACATGAGTAATTGATGGGTACTAGTCAAGCTTGACTATAATTAATGCTTCTTAGGAGGCAATTCAAGTTTTAATTTTCAACTTTGCATATTTAGGATTAATTTTATTATTTTGGTTTTTATTAGGAATAGGTAATGCTTGTTTTGTTTGCTTTTGCTTTTATAGGAACGAGGAATAAGAAAGCTAGGATAATGTGCAGTGCATGGATAATTCCTATAATTCCATATTCAATCTTGGTGAATTAAAGGAATATCTCTCTTCTTTTTGTGCTTTATTATTATATTTTTACACATTAAGGATAATATGTTGATTGAGCTTGAAGGAAAAAATTTGTTCCAAATGTTTTTAAAATTTTTAAAATTTTTTGTTTTGAGATTAAGTTAACATGTTTAGAACTGGTATTTTGCTACCTTTGTTTATTTTCTCATAATCCAATGATAAAAACTTTGATTGACTTTGATTATAATTGTTAGAAAAAAAAAAACAAATGTAGTGAAAGCATGATATTAGTTCTTGAATTAGTTTCTTCATAATTGTGATATTTTCATATTATTGAGCACTTAGTCTTAATCATTAAGATGCATGTATGCTTAGTTAAAGTTTATGTAAATGTGAAGTTACATTTATCTTTAAGTTATATGCTTATTTTAAAATTTATTTAAGCATTTCTTAAGGCAAAATCATGGACTACACTTAATTAAGAAGATGATTTAGGTCATCTTTAGATTGTTTAAGCCTTTTAAACTAACCTTTATATCGTAATCCTTAGTCACCCTTTTCAGCCTAATATATAACTTTTTTCTTTTTTTAAAAAAAAAAAAACTATATGAAATAACCACCCTTTGATTTATTATCTTTATCTTTCTACCTTATCCTATGTGCATATGGATCAATTAATCAAAATATAAGGGCTATGTTACATTAGGAAGGAAATGTGGAGTTAAAAAAAAAAAAAAAAAAAAAGGGTACAAAGTATGAAAGGTAGAAAAATAGTTTGAAACAAAAAGAGAACAAAATGCTCAAGTGACAATGAATGCTATTTGTAGAAAAGTCAAGATAAAAAAAAAAAGAAAGAAAAATCTAGGTTTAGGGGTATACAGTTCTCTTAAAAGCTTTCTCATCGAATAAAAAGATTCTAAGTAATAAATGTATGGACTTATCAACCTAATTACCTTTAACCCTAGCCTGACATTATAAGCATAATAAAAACACCTATTAACCCTTGGTTAAGTGTGGCTACATTAGTGGAAAGAATATGCGAAAAGCAAACTTATGAAATTTATGCATGCTTTGAAGTGATTTATTAAATTTCATGTTTGCATAACTTTAATTGAATATCTTGTGTTGATATGACTTAGATTATACAAACACAAGGAAATTTGCAATTGAGAGATAACTTTTTCATGAATGATTTTTATGTTTAATTTATGCTTATGATTTTTTTCTAAATTATATTTATCATGCAATTTTGAGGACTTATAAGAATCTAATATTGAAAGCATGCATTATGATCTCTAGCATGTTTTTCTGATTTAGCTAAGTTTTATTTTACTTGAGGGCAAGAAAAAATTTAAGTTTGGGGTTTAATAACTCTATAAAATAAAGTTATTTTTAGTGCTTAAATGAGTTACTTTTGCTTTGTTTTTGGTAAAATAAGCTTCTTTTTACTCCAAATGTGCTTAATTTGCCATTTTATAGAAAATCCTAAAGAAAATATTCAATTTTGATGAATCTTGAAGAATCTTTGAGTTTCTTAATCAATCTTAGATGATTCTTGGTACATTTGGAATAATCTTAGACTATTCTTGATGCACTTGTTGATTCTTGGAAATCTTAAAGTTAGATTGATAAGTTTATACAAGATTTGCTTTACCAAACCTATTAAAGTTAGAATTGATGAATCTTGTCAAAAATTTTAGAAAATTCATGCAAGAATTGTGTGAGGGATGTTTGGCTATAATTAGGGATAGATGAGCAATTTTAAGTTAAATACAACTCCATGGTGTTTTATATAGGTGTGTATACATGGAATTATTATAGATGACATGGCAACAAATCTTTTCTCATTGGCCAAGAGAGATAACTTGGAAAATTATGTGGTATGTTGACTTGAAAGTTCTGTTCATACTTGAAAAAGTCTAAATAGCCTTTAATATTCCTATTTCAAGAAGGTTTTCCTACTTTGACATGAAAATCCCACATTGACTCAAAATTCTTACATTGACTAGGAATAGCACTTTGTTATCCTACTTAGAATAGTTGAGTAGGAAATTTTAGTTTGGATGGGTATTCCTACCAAGGTTAGGATTTACATGAAGATAGAATAGCACTATAAAAAAGGTGCAGCATATGAGAAGAACACAACTCAAAATTTTTATTCTTTTTTTTCCAAGAACTCTTTAACTAGAGAAACATAAGTCCAAGATTTAAGAATATAATATAAGACTAATTGATTTCAATATTCAAGCCCAATGGAAGAAGTTGCCCAAAAAGAACCCAAAACACTTTATGGTTCGGGGCTCCCTAAAAGAAAGGTCAATTGTTCATTCTATTATTCAAAAAGGCTTAGTCCAATTCAAAAAAGGTCAATAAGTGCTAAATCTAGTCCAAGTTGGAGTTCTTATTCAAGAAGGCTACCAAGGGTTTAAAAATAATTACAAAACATTCTTTTTACTTGAAGAAAGCCCTAACCGCCACCTATCCTTCTAACTTTAAAATTCTTCATATTCTTATTATATAAATAACTATCTTTCTTTAGAGAAAATTTGAAGTAAGGCTTTGGGTGATAGTCTAACTTAAAATAGTTAGCTACTTTTAAGTTTTTTTATTTTTTACTTTTCATGTTTTTACGTTTTCTTTTAAGTTATTTTAAATTTATGCAAAGTTTAATTTTAATTCTCTTTTAAAATAATTTTTGTTTTGTTTTTAATTCAATTTGAGCTTCCTTAAATTTTTGTTCTTGCTTTCAATTCAATTCAATTTGTATTTTTCTTTTAAAATTTTTTATCCACACAATTTGTGTTCTTTAAAGTCTGTTTTTAATTTAATTTGAGGTTTGAAGTTTAATTTATTATATTTAGGTCATTTGCATTCCATTAAGTTTAATTTAGATTTTGTTTAATATAGTTTTTGCATGTTTAAGATTTTTAGATTTATGTTTAATAGTTCTTACATGTTTTAAGATTTAACTGCTTTAATTCAATTTTGTTCATTGTGATTTAAGTTTAAGTTGATTAGTTTATAATCTTGCATATTGGTTTAGATTTAATTTACATGCTTTAAGTTTATTAAGCAAACTTACATTCTATTTCATTTAATTTAAATTGTTAAGTTCAAATTTAGTTTATTTTGCATGCTTAGTTAGCTAATTTAAGTAATTATTCAGCTATTTACATTCTACTTTCAATCTTTTAGATATAATTAAAAGTAAACAATTTCAATATTTAATTCTTTTCCATATATTTCAATTTCCGTGAGAACGATACTCTACTCATTCTATATCACTTATTCTAATTCCGTGCAGTTGCAAATTCTCAATCAAGCCAATGTCCATAAACAATTACATTTATCTCATTCCATGAAGCAAGGCTTTGCTCAACTTATGCAAGCAACATGCTCCAGTCTCCATAGAGAAGGCAACTATTAATAAGAATGACTTAGGTATCAGAAAAAAAGATGTCAAGACAACTCTAAAACATATATATAAGGCGAAACCTAAATACCTCAACTTATTTCCAGACAATTGTTTTCATGATTTATGAACTCATTGTTGATGTGCTGCTCTTAGCCTGAGAAGTAGTTGAAATGTTGCTCCGTATCTGAGAACTCTGGCTTGAGGATGACTCTGTAAAGAAGATTATGTGCTCATGATTGTCTACAAACACTTGTAGAGATCTTGGCACAGGAGGCAGGTTCACATCCAAAACCCCCTCTAGGATCTGAGCTACATGACCCATTGAAGGCCTGTGATTTTCATCATCTTGGATGCACCAACAAGCCACTTTACATATTCTTGATAGCTCATCTACAGGGGCATCTCCATTCAATCGGGGGTCTAATAGGCTAAGGACATCACCGCCTTGAGTTATTAGGCTAGCAGCCCAAGTTGGAAAGAATCTAACTTTTCCATCTTCAGACTGTTCAGAGTTTCTCCTTCCGGATACAAACTCAAAAAGCATCATCCCATAGCTGTAGACATCAGCTTTAGCTGTAATGGCGACTCCTGAAATCCACTCTGGTGCAAGATAGCCTCTTGTCCCTCTCATAGTTGTCAGCACCCTGCTGAAGTCCCGCCCAACAAGCTTTGCCAGGCCAAAATCTGCGACTTTTGGACAGAATTCAGCATCTAAGAGAATGTTTTCTGGCTTAATGTCACAGTGAATAATACAATCTCTGCACTTCTCATGAAGATAAGCTAAGCCTCTAGCTGTACCGAGTGCAATCTGGTACCTTATTTTCCAGTCTAAAGCTTTGGCATTCTTTTCATGGAAAAGATGGGCATCCAAAGAACCATTTGGCATGTAATCATACACCAATAACTTTCTTGTACCTTCAGAGCAGAAACCACGAAGTCGCACTAGATTAACATGTTGAATTGTCCCAATTGTGCTGACCTCTGTGCGAAATTGCTTCTCTCCCTGACTGATGCTCTCAAGCTGCTTCACAGCTACGGCACTCGAGTCTGGCAACATTCCTTTGAAAACAGAACCAAAGCCTCCTCCCCCCAGTTTTTCAGAAAAATTCTTCGTTGCACTCTGTAAATCTCTATATCCGAAAGCTAGAAGTGAACCTTCAACAGCTTTTGGAGTTATCATCTTTCGCCTCCTCCATCTCAAAATTGCAAGCATTACAAGAACTAGGACTAAACCCACTGAACCAGCAACTGCTCCAATAATTATTCCCTTATTGTTGCTGGAACTTGAGAACTCAGATGCCGCTAGCCTGATATATATAGCTTTTCCATTGCTAGCCTCTTCCGCAAGTTGTTGCAGATCCAAGAGATCTCCCATCCAAACTTTACACCCATCACTATCATAAGCATAAGCAGTGCAAGAGCAATTCTTGAGGCAGGCTGATTCACATTCCGACATGGTCCCAACGGTCATAGACTGGGCATCTTGAGGCAATACCATGTTGGGGCTTTCTAGAAATTTATCACTCTTCACATTAGCAAGTGTGGGATCTTCACACTGCAGCTTGGTTTTCCTTTCACACCCATCAGAATAATCGCTCAGATTCCAATGGCTTACTGACTTTGGCTGGAAACCTGACAAACAGTTACAGAAAGGCAGAGCTTTCTCATTGCAGATGCCAAAAGCCCCACAAAAAGCATACACCTGGCATTGTTGTCTCGGCTGTGACCAAAACAAATTCCACTGCTTGCTACTTTCCAACCATGAAAGTTGCTTAATCTGGCCCGAAACATCCATAATAAATCGAGATATGGTAGAAGGATTATAAAGCGAATAAGTAAAATAACTCTCGTTTTCATTCGAAACATAGCTGAAGTTGTAGATGTAATTCAGTCTCATTTCTGGAACTAAGCTGAAAATCCTTGTCTGTTCATCCCAAGTACCACTCGTCCAGTAATTTTCGGATCCATTCCATTGAATCAAATATTGATTGGTACCAGTGGGGTCTAGCTCAAGGGAAAAGAGACCCGGAGCAGGATCTTCTGAATTTTTCCATGAAGTAAGAAGTTGGCTTTTATTGGTTCGTTTATTTAAGCTAAGCTTACCACCGGGAAGCCATGTGTGCGTGGGATGATCAAGACTTTGCCATAACGGCGTTGATGAATTGGGCCCATCTCTCAAAACAAGATTCCCTCTATCTTCAAGAACTGCTACTACAGAACTTGAGCTGCTAGAGCTAATATTTGTGGACCAAATTGGTACTTGGGATTCATTGAACAATTCTAAGTTACCATTAGATATTTTTAATTCTGAAGAGTATATATCACGGACTGGTGTCTCTCTGTTTGCAACCCAAACTGGGGTCTGTTGAGAGACCTTCCCGTACCACATGCCTATGTAGTAGTTGGAAGAGTTACCTGGTTTGAAGAAGCCCAATACGAAGTTTCCACCCGATGAAACAATTGTATGATTTCCGGACAGAGATTGATTTGCTGACATGGTGTCAGCTCCAAATGAGAGTTGGCAGTTGAGAGAAAAGCACATGAAGATTAGTACGGAAAGCATCATCCATGGATTATTCATTTTGTCTATGGCTGTCCTGTAAGAGAATTACTGACAGGAGAAACAAGACAGATATTTCAAAGAGCAAATCAAAAAGCTGTTTAAAATACAAGACGAGGCAGAACAAGTCTCAGATTGCTAAAACAAATCAGGTCTGAGGTAGCGGCCGCTGTGGGGCAGTTTTATTGTATCTCAATCAAACCAAGCTTGTTGAGATGACAACTATGGCCTTTGTTTGCTCCCCGCAGAACAAGGGCGCTTTCGTAACTTGGAATTGAAGAGCAACAATGTCTTTCAGGTGCTGCTTTCAATCATCCTCAATCTCGTGCGCACTTATAACTAGAATTGGCGAAAAGTCAAAGCAATAGTATCTTTGAATTTTTCTGTAGAAAAGTTAGAAATGCAAAAACATATCCGAGGCCAGAACAGCTCCTCGGCTGGGTCAACTTTGAACATTATTGGACCGCGTAACGCCGTAACCTCTCCGTTTCGCGAAGCCTTGTCATTTATCAAATGCTGGTGGATTTACGCCTGCGTGCTAGCTACTCCTACCATAGACGACGCCCGACGATCACATTTTCTTTTTTAATATATTTAAGTCATATTTGATATACAATATTATCATAAAATAAAATAAAATAATATTATAAATTAAATTAAATTAAATAAGATTATTTAATTTTATATTTGATATATATAAAAATTATAATAAAATAATTTATTAATTTATCAAAATTATTTTTTTTAATTTATATAATTTAAATTATTAATATAATTTTTAAAAATATAATTAAATATATAAATGTAATACAATAAATTAAAAATAATTTTCTCAACTTGAAAAAGATTAAATAATCTTATATGAAAAAGATATTAATCTTCCTTATAATTTATATCTTTTTCTTTAAATAAAAATTAGATATGATATAAAATAATTATTATCCAATCGTATCAATAATTTTATACATCAAACATAACTTTAATAAAAACTATACTCATTCGTCTAATATGTCTAATACATATACATTCACTTACATTTTATTTTCAAATTTGTTATTATAATAAAAAATTTTAATAATTTTCACTTAAATCTTTAAAGTAAAATTTAGAATAAGTGAATACATTATTTGAATACAATATGTTTAGTAATAAATCTAGAATTTTTTTTAAATATCCACTTATAATATATAATAATTGAGTCAACATTTTATTTGATTTTAAAACACGGTATTTTATCTAATTAAAAACACATCATTTATTTAATTGAAAATTATCGATAAATTAAAAAATAATTGACATTTTTTAAAAGTTTTAATTTTAGTTTCCGGCTTGCAAATCCATCGACACGTTTAAAATGTCGGTAGTTTTATCCATTTTTTATGTTCATTGAAGAATTGTTTATAGATTTATTAATTTTATTGATGAAAAAAGTGTTTAAAGAAATTTTTTGAAGTGTTCAAAAAAATATTTTTATTTTTTTTATTTGTCATCTTTTGAATATTAATGAACACCTTATCCTAATATTTGGATCCTTCGATAAATAAATTAATTAATGCAAGTAACACTATTCTTTTATTTATATTTTTGGATTTGTTAAAAAGTTTTTAAAATGTCTCAAGCAGACACTGTTATGGATTATTTCTAGTCTATAAATATCATTTTTTTTATTTTATTCAAATATTGATTATATAGATTTTTTGTTATCTATGATAGACCTTGTTATTATAGCAATTACTTATCAAAATGTTTATATATGATAAAATTTATTTTTCTAATAATCATCATTTTAGAACATATTTGTTGCTAATGAATAAAAAAACATGTTTAAGTTATAAGATGAGTGCTAGTAAGTGAATGATTAAAGAATTAAAATGAGAAAAGTTTTAGGAATAATAATGTCACATCTATTTACTCGATTAATAAGCTCAACTCTTTTAGTTGCCTAGCTAACACATACTCAATTGTCATGTCACCATCAATAAAGGTCGACGTCCAGATTTTTTGATAAAGAAGTGACTCAACCCTTGCCAAAGAAAAGCTCACATGATATATCCATTAATGTCTTATCAAGACATCACTGCATAACTAGATACTTGGTCTTTAACTTGCCTAAAAATATTAAATGTAGCACACGCTTGCATGGGATTATTAAATGGATTTTGTAATCACCCACGTAGACTCTCCTCAAGTTTCATGTAAACTCACATCAACTATCAACTATTTCAGTCATGTTATTGCCTTTCATCTCATATATAAAGTAAAAAAAAAAGAACCAAATATGTAAAATTTAAGCATTCCTCTCTTTGAAGCTTTCTCAATACTTTACCTTTTTCCTCATCAAATTTTAGATATTTTTATTGACTTAAGTGTCAGAACACGTCTCGAAAAACCAACTACGGTACCTTTTTACTATGTTTTCTAGCCACAAGTCTAGGTCTTCTTACTTTTAACCTTCGGTCAACTTCCCTCCAACTAAACACCTAAAAGCACCATCAACAATTGGCATTTTTATGGGAAACAACAACCATGTCTCATCCTCATTCCTATGACACAGCAACACCAACCATGAATGTAACCCCTCAATCTATAACTATCTTTGACACAGCAGCCATGCTAACCCTTACACAAATCCCATCACTAAATTTTCATTCATGGAACTCATGGTATGACCCTATTTTCCTATTTCCTAGCAACCCAGTATCATTAAATGTATGGACTGCACAATCGATTGGGTATTATCAAAACTTAATGTGAGTTTTATCTCCAAACATGACCTTAACCCCACATTGGTTCATATCGCTACCATTGGATCTTCAAACCTAACCTCTCAACTACCTCATTTACAAGTTTAGTCTTCACAACCCATTAATGCTACTCATTATAAAGTATTCCTCTTGCCATATCCATTATGCATGTTACACTATTAGCTCCATAGATCCCCATATACCAAACGAACATGCAACAACCCCCTTGAGTTTTACCATGCACCAATGAACTAGATCCAATTATTAAATGCCCAGGTGGCCACTCAATAAAGGCTACTTCAACAGTACCAACAAGCTACCTAACAACTCTCATATGAAAAATCCCACCTAAAGGAAAACTTTACCTCTTCTTTTTAAAAACCACTACAAATCCCCACCCAACCTAAAGAAAGTTGCCCATAACCCATCCAAGACAATGCCTATCTTAATAAACCCATAATATAAAACCAAACTCTCATTAACCTCAACCTAAAAAATGAACTGGCAGTGCAAGTCGTTACTATACAAAAAGAATTGGTTGATATGAAAAAAGAAAAAAACAATAACCTACAATGGTTAGAAGATAACTACAACCCTTTAATCAATCTCATTAGACAAGCTAATATCCTTACCTTCATCAAACTCTCCAAAGAAACTTATAACAAGACCATAGATCCAAAAAATCACTTGGATCATTTTTGAACTTTTATAGACCTTCACAATGCCTTAGATGTAGTCAAATGTAAAGTTTTCCCTACAACTTTATAAGATAGAGACCATGTAGTTATACTTGATGGCCTCAATGATTATTAATGGTTTTAACACACTCAACATGCAGTTCGTAGCCTACTTCCTCAGTCACAGGTTTACAATATGCTCTTCTACAAGCTTGTTTGCTGTAAGGCAAAATCCTAATAAGATTTTGCAATAATACTTGAAAAGGTTTAATGAGATTATCTTATAGATCAAAGACCTTAATATTAATAGGCCATTCAAGCATTTTCTTTTGCAATAAGGCATGATCACCCCAGATACTTCTTGAAAGAAAACAAATTTAAACAATTGTAGTAACTTTACAAGATAGCCCAAAAATTTATCGAAGCTAAGGAGTTTTAAGTTACAAATAAAGCTGAAAGGTAAGAACAACACCCTAATCATTTGTGAGATGATAGTAGGCATATAGAAACCTCTAGCCAATGATTCCACACAGCTGTCAATCCTACGATCAATCTAAGAGAAAAAATCGGTAACATAGCACTAGTCAAAACTCCTAACAATAACCCAACCACTATCAAACCATAAACCAATCCCCTAATGCCATTACTTAGTGACCCGTCTAAACTAGCCAAAGACCTAACTAGATGAGACCATCACCTAGAAGATCAGACAATCAATCCCCACTAAAGAGACATTACAATTATTACTCAACAAGAATCACTCTACTAATGAATGCATAGCCTTCTAGAAAGAGATTTAAAGATTGAAAGGCTTTATTAATAGTTAGTCCACTCACCATGATAAACACCAAAATAACCCATCACCCCGTCCATTAAAAAACATGTTCGTCTAGGAAGAAAAAGAGTTATTACCTTTTTTAAAGGTTTTTTGAAGTGCCATCAAATTCAAATGGGATGATTAGTGTCAAAAAGTCTTTGAAACATTGAAGCAACATCTTCATTCACCTCTCTTACTTGTCAACCTTATCATAGGTAAAGCCTTATCTATTTACTTGGTTATATCAAATGAAACAATAACCGCGGTGTTGGTTCAGGAGGAAAATGAAAGCCAAATCCTAGTATATTATGCCAATAAGGCATTATAAAATGGAGAAGTTAACTACATGAGGTTGGAAAAGATTACCTTTGTTTTGGTAGTAGCCACTCGAACTAAGATAATATTTTCAACTACACATTATTATTATGTTAATTGACTAGCCTTAAGGAAGTATTACATAAGATAGACACTTCTGGAAAAATGATGAAATTGAATGTTAAACTCAATGAGTTTCATATTGAATACAGGCCCAATAAGGTTATCAAAGCCTAAGCCTTCACTTACTTCCTTATTGAATTCTCTTTCATACTTGAAGCTAAGACATTGCCACAATATGATGGCAAGTCCCATTCCTAACCGCTAAAGTAGCAAAAAAAAAAAAAAAAACAAGCCAACTGATGTTTCCACCTTACCAGTAACTTATTTAATGCCCTTCTGATATAAGATCACCTGCCAAAGCAAACTTAGATGTTGTATGTTGATGGTTCTTTAAGAAAAAATAGTTCTAGTATAGGAATTTGGTTATTACGCCCTCATAGGCAAGATGCCAATATGGTCTATCTTTTGGCTTCTCTATCTCCAATAATACAATTAAATATTAAGCACTAGCTACAATGCTAGAGTTGACCACTAGCCTAACATAGTTGGTTGTCGATCATGTGAATAGTGAATATGAAATAAAAGATCCCATGCTCACTAAATATCATGCCATCATCCATTAACTCAGCCAGCGATTGACGACCATATCTCTTGAACAAGTCCCTTGTGCTAACAACACCAAGACTAACTCATTATCCAAATTGACAGCCTGTATTAAGATAAATGAGCAGGGAAAAATCTTTTTGAAGTATGTATTGATGCCTCGATACTTACAAGCATCCCATATTTTATGTATAGAAAAAGAATATAGTTGGATGACTCCCAT